TTCTGTGATTTCGTTCACACTCTCCCCGCTGCTTGTAATACATTGCTTTTTAACCTCAACGTCATCTGAAGAATTTATATACTTCTAGTTCCAACCAAGCCCTACTTCATTCTTAAAAACATCTCTGAACATTTATTCTTCCATAACATCATTCTCCCTCATTGTCAAATCCAGTTGCACTTGAAACCAACACCCCATGATTAAACCCTAAGTTTTTCTCTAATTATTTTATAGGTCTTAGAGTTGTCTCAGAAACTAAATCATAAACTCAAGGGTCAGGGAACATGTGATCTTTCACTTCTATAGACTTGACATCCTAAAATAGGACTAGCACACAGTAGGCACTCAGTAATATCATTGCTGCTTGGTTGACAAATGCCAGTATTTTTCATCCCTTTCCCATCTCTGAACTGTTTAGAGGTTAACTTTTTCCCAATTTAATGCACAGCTGTACATTTAATATCTGGAGGGAAAACTGAGGCTGCAGCCTATCTACTCTGTTTTGTGTATTAAATTTACAATAAAGTCAAAGACAGATGGCTAAAAAGGAACCCTAATCATCTCTGGTATTATTAAATCTTTCAGTTTAAGGGCTGAGAGAACCCAAGAAAATTTTCTTTTAATCCCTATGGGTTTTATATTCCGGAGATGAAGTTATAGCGCTGGCCTGAAAAAGCAATTTCATGAAATCATTTACCAAGGAGGAGGGAGAAAATCATTATAGTCCTCCTTCTGAGATTCACAATTAATAAGCATGCTCTACTCTTTTCAAACCCAGAAGAGCTGCGTGGGCTTGATAAACAGCCAAGTTTGGTCTAACTGGAGCTCTAAACAGATGTCTATAAATATTGCAGAAAAGAACCCTCAGAAAGTTGGTGGGCGTTACTGACGAGTGGCTACGGTTCCTTTTGTTGGCAAACAGGCAGCAGATGCCTATCTCCCCTCCATGGATGACTAGCCCACTATGGGGACCTATAATTCCTTAAGGTTTCTGGTGACTGTCTTAACCAATATGGCTTCTTTTAAAGCAGTGGTTCTCAACTAAGGGCAAGTTTACCCCTCCCTCTTGTCCCACCTAGGGAACAATTGACAATATCTGGAGATTTTTTTCTTGCCACAGCTGGTGGTGGGGGTGCTACTGGCATCGAGTGAGTTGAGGCTAGAGATGCTGCTAAACATGCTACAGTGCACAGGGCAGTCCTCCCTATGGCAAAGGATCATTCAGCCAAAATATCAATAGTGTCAAGTCACCTTACAGTAATACTATTTTAGTATAGCTTGTTCATTCATGCATTCATTCAAAAATATTTAGTGTTAAACATAGAAAATATCCAAGTAGCTGTATTTCTGTACCTGGATTCATTAATTCACTGACATACTACTAGTTTATCAATTATCTACTCCATTCCAGACACTGGAGTCTTGAACAGCATGGTCAAGGGCTTTCCTCATCCAGGGTTTACATTCTAGTGAAAAGAATACAAGAGTCTAAACAAGTTGGCAACTGAATGAACAAGATAATTTTAATGAGTAATAAATACAATGAAGGAAATCAAAAAAATAAAGAGAGAGAGGATGACCTCAGCAGGTATGGCTATGTGGGTCGCTACTTTCAGGAGTAGAGTTTGGGAAGGCCTCTCTTTATAGGTTACACTGAAGCTGAGGCATAATGATGTGAAGTAAGTAGCTCTACAAATCTGGAGGAGGAATGTTCAAAAGAAAGGAAGCAATAGGTTCAAAAGCCCAAGACAGGGAAGGCTTGGGTGGGGTCAAGGACCAGAGGCATGCATGCCTCTAATGCTTGGATAAAGGAAGCAAGGTGGACAGAATGAGGTTAATGAGAGAGGCAGGAGTTAGAACTAGGCAGGGCTGTACAGGCCTGGGAAAGGAATTTAGACTAGTATTCCCAGTTCCGTGGCATGTCACAGAGGATTTTAAGCAGGGCGGACATCATCTAGGTTAGGTAGTGATAAGTTTACACAGGCAACTGGATCAAGAATGCCCTGTAGAAGGGCAAGTTGGAAGTGAGGGGCTGGTCAAGAGCTCCTTACAGGAAGCTGTCCAGCTTTGGCTACAGTGCCATGAGATGAGATAAAAGGAATTGGGTGAATTTGGAAAGCACTTGGTATAAAATTCTGACTGGCTCGTATATGATCCATTACTCAGTCAACCAAGCCAGCCTTAGCTTTCTCATTTCCAGTCAGTGAGGGTCCTGAGAACCTTCACTCTGCCAATCCTCAGTCTCCTCAATCCTTGAGTCAGTCCTGACTTAGCTCCAGAATATGTAGAGCCCCACTTTCCCCTAGCCGCCTTACATGCATCAGCTGTGCCTGGTCAGACCCTCTCTGATGAAAGCTGAGCTTAGTTTAGTGCCCCCTTCCCATTCTTTAGCTGGACTGAGATCTTTGAATATCAGACTTTCACAGCTGGAGTCTGGGACCCTGTCTACCAATTTCTGCTTCTTCCCTTGAGGATAATACCCTTAGGAACGTAATGTGGCACCTGCTGGCCCTGACCCTTTAGCAGCTTCCCATGGAACTTAAAGTAAAACTCACATTTCCATCTGTCCCCTGCTAATCTATTCAGCCTTTCCTTGTACCAGTCCCTCTTTTGCTTACAACAATCCAGGGAAACTGGCCACATATTCATTCTTTCAGTCCACCAAGATCTTTCTTTCCTTATTCCTTTGCTTTTGAGGGTCTCTCTCCCTTGCATGCTCTTCTTCCAGTTTTTTTGCCTCGTTCATGTCCCAGCTCAACTATTGCATTCTCAATGGGAGTGATCCTACCCCAAAAGAGGTAAAAATTGATTCTTGGAGGTGAAAAAATCTTACTCTTTTGATGTATAAAACACAGATGTATATACAGGACATAAGCAGATAGATCGATGATAGGCAGATAAACAAATATAGATAGATGGTATACCTATGGTATTAAATTTTCATGGAGGGGTTATTTGGGGAAAAAAGTCTAAAAATTCTCTTTATATGGGGGTAATAATGAAAAAGAGGTTGACAAACACTGCTCTATGGAAATTTCTCCCCCTCCACTTACTTGCCAACACATACCCTAATTTAACTCCTTCCATGAACTTATTACAATTGATGAATACCCTGCTTATTTTTGTTCACTTCAGTATTTTCTGCCCCTCTCCACCTCTCTGAATATAAATTCCATGAAACCCATGGAACTTGGCCATCTGTTTACCACTATATCCTCAGCATCTGCACAGTGTTAGGCACACAGTAGTGAATGAACACATATTTGGTGATTCCGTTACCATTGTGACCAACAACTGATTTCAAGTACTAAAATAAGAAACCACTGGGCCAATGGATCCCTCTTGGATTTCAGCCTTTGCTTAAACCTCTTTTGGGCACCAAGCTTAAGTATAAGCCCTCTTCTTTTCCTCATGGTCAAGTTCATCGCTTGTCCCTGGTTTTGACTATTGTCAGTTTTCTCTCTTCCCTGACCACTGAGAACCCATTAACCTTGTAGTCTAGCTGTACTCTGTTGCACTGAGACACTGCAGTGAATACCATACAAATGGCTGACTCATTAAATGAAAAACATTTTCTAGAAATATAATGATAGGCTAACCATCTTGGAAATTACACAGGAGAAGGAATGAATGATTATCTGATTTGATTTAGCAATAAATTGAATCACAGTGAGCATCTGCAATAGAAAGAAGACAGGAAGAAAGCAAACCAAAATGTTAACGATGTTATCTATCTCTAGAATATGGACTTGCAATTTATTTTTTCCTTACGCTTTTGGTTGGTGTAGGAGTTTCCTACAATAAGCATTTATTTCTTTTATCATAAAAAACAAAGTTTTGGTAGTTGGGTTTTTTAAGACCATTCGCGATACTGCAGTATCAGAGAGGTAGGTATAGTCTATAGATTCAGGACCAATCCTATTAGGTTACACAATGAATCCCATAAAGCTTTTTAGAGAGGATTTCTGTGTTTAGGGAAACCATAGGTTTTTGGCCAACCTAGTCCATTAGGCAAATAGCATCAGCTTTCTTGCCAGGAGGTCCCCCACTGTCTGGACCACAGACCTTTGTGTGTGTTAAGTTTTTCGAAGGTGTCCATGGCTCCTAAAAGTACAAAAAAGTATTCATACTATAAGGTACCCACTCATGTAAAATGCAAAAACAAACAAACAACAACAAAAAATGACACATTCCCACATATTTAAAAATATTCCTCAGGGGTTTCACGGCTCCCTGAAGCCAAGGTTATAAAAAAAAAAATCCTGACTCAGGAAGACTTCTTAGTGAAATGCCTCTCGAAACTTAGGCCACATCTCTTCATTTTCACTTCACAGGTAGCTATCAAGACTGGTTTCCCAAATGTCCCAAACTTCCCTTGCTGAAGGATTTTCTAGACCTCGCCTCCTCCTAGCACATCCCACCTGGATCAAAACAACCGGTTCATGCTTTAGTATCCTCAAAGGTTATATTCAGGGTTCTCAATTTTTTCATGATCAAGGAATGGTTTCAAATAGTAGAACTTTTGACAGATCAATTAATGAAAACATTCAGTCCAAGTGTAGATCCAGCAATGCATCAATAATTATAATGCCCATCCTGACAGCTAACAACACACTGCAGGGGCCCCAGGCATCTGGGCTTAGCACACAAATCATTTCAACTCTGAGCCATTGTTTGCTCAGACCTTGATCTCTTATATACCCACAAGGTGACAGTATAAATGATGCTGCAACAACATACATGCTCTCTTAAAACCTAGGTGAATCGTATACATCCATTTGGTAAGGGTTCATGGTATAAATGGTATGGCGAGGCTGTTAGAGAACTTAATGTATTTCTTACATCCAAAGAGCACTGTATGGGACAATGACTTTTAGAAACCTCATTTAAAACAAAGAAACCTGGAGAAAAATTGTTTAGTCAAAGATTGTATCTGGCTGCCCAAACCTGACTGCACTAAAAAGAAGAAATGATTTGCTGGGAGAAATCACCATTCTTACCTCCTCCAGGGCCCATAGGGAGTCCACAACAGGCTTGATCTTCTTCTGGTTGTAGAGCTCCAGGAGCTTGTCCACCACTCCTCGAATGAGCCCTGCACGACCCTGCTTGAAGAGCAGATTTAAAAGGGAAAATCCCGCGATGACTTTGTTCTCTTCGTACAGCTTGATGGGGTTCACCTTCTCAACCTGCCACCACTGGAAGGAGAGAAGGCACCAGGTTACAAGGACTCAGTGTCAGGCCATGTTCTCAGCATTGTGGGGGAGAGAATGGGGCTACAATTGGATAGATTCTAGCTGGGCAAGAGGTAGCCCTGGTGGTGTGAAAAAGCATCTATTTGGCTAGGCACAGTTGGGAAACTGAGTCCAGAGAGGTTAAGTGACTTGCCTAAAGTCGCACAGCAAATCATTTCTTCTTTTTAGTGCAGTCAGGTTTGGGCAGCCAGATATCATGTTTTCCTGGGAGAATTTAGCGTAAAGCACTTGGCTTAGTGAACAGTGGTGGTGGTGGTGATAGGGCTGGTGAAGGGAGCAGGGTGGCAGAGAATTTTGCAAAGTGTCATAAGGTCACAGTGGGGGTGATGACTCTAACTGTAGAAGTAGCTTTCTAGTGGGGAATAATGACAAGGCTGGAAAGGTGGGTAGAAATACATAGGATAAAGAGTAAGGAAGTGTCACATAGGAGGAAGGAACAGTATGACGGAGGGATGAAGCCATAGTGTTAGGACTTAGTCAGGTTTACCCCGTCCCCTGCCCTCATATTAAGTTGGAAGGGAGGGTTTTGATTTAGTGAATAGCACTCGAGTGACTGAAGCCAGGCTGCTCTCTAATATTAACTTCACCTGTTATTGTCATCAGCATCGTGCTCTAAAAGCAAGCGGCACGTTTGACAAAGAGTGTGCACAAGCTCCGTGGGAGTTTTTAGGTGGAGCATAATTAAGGTAGCTGAGTGAGAAATGCCTGTATGATTCCAAAGATGTCTTTAAATTCTAGCCTTTCATGAATGTACAGAAAAAATTTCCTTTCTAGAAACTTCCAGAACCAAGCTATCATTCCACTTCTTGGCATGTCCTATCTTCAGTTTACTACTAACTGACCAACCAGTGTCAGACCAGGTCTCTGAAAGGGAACAGTCTTCATTCTTGACTTCCAACTGTAAAGCATTCTGATAATCGTCACCCCTGTTTCGAGCGGGAGAATCTCAACCTCCACTCTGGCCGTGTTTCTGTGAGCGCCTTCACCAAACTTGGGCACCCTGCAATTATTTCATTAACACTGTGTGTTGTGATCGTGCATTTAGGAAAGAAAGAGAAAACACTTTTTATAATTGTATGTAATTTGTGACCAATTTGGTTACCCACAGCAGGCTGTCGGCATCACATTAATTACAGCCACGGCAACAAAGCAGCTGTCAGCAACACAAAGACCATCTTCAGGGGACATGCTCCAGACAGCATCTTTCATTAGACTCCATTCTTGCTCCCTATTTATTCTGTAGTTGAGGTGATCCTGGACCTGAACTATAAAGTTTAAATGCAAATAGAGTTCCTTTAATTCTAATCTCATGGGGCAGGAAGTACTCATCATTCCAGATTCAGAGATTGTTTGGAAATGAAGCCTTTGTCAGCCAGTGTTGACACTTAGGAGGCTCGTGGAGCCACACTTAGAATGAATTCTAAACCTCTTATCACAGCTTGTCCTGAAAACTCTATTCAAAATGCCTTTACTCCATCCTGCCCTTTTCTACTTCAGCATCCTATTTTTATTCCCTTCAGAATTTTAATGACTATTTATGATCATATTATTAATATGTTTTACATATTTCAGTTGTCTCCCTCATTAGAGTGTAAAAGTCACAAGGGCCTAAGATACACCTGTCTCTTTCACTGTGATACCTGGTATCTGACACAGAGCCACAAAAAGTAGACTCAGAAGATGCTTGCAAAGTGAGTGTATCATCAATGCTGCACTGGCTGCTTAGGAGGTTGGGAGGAGAGAAGAGAAAAGCAAGCTCTTATGAGAAGCAGCAATCTCCTATTGTGGAGGGGAGAGAGGGTAAAATTGAAGTTCAAGCCCAAATTAATTTAATTCTAGCAAGTGTAGCACTGGGTGGGAATGGGTAGATCTGAGTAGATTCATGATGGGGTGAATGCCCAGGGATGTGGCTTTTTCTTTGCAGACAAAGTAACCACTGTGTTCAGAGCACGATTATCTAAGACAGTGGTTCACAAATTTTCCCAAGTCTAAAAATCGGTCCAGGAGTTTGCTAAAATTACAGGGTCCCATTTGTATCTCTAACTCAAAAGGATAAGGATACAGAGAAATCTCAAGTAGCTGCAGAAGCCTGGTGAGAAAGTGGCCAGACTAAAAGGCTGGCCTCTTGATGGAGCAAATAAAATGCACCAATGCTAAGTTTCTTTTCGACCAATGATTAAAAGCACTTATGCAATCTCTGCTGAAATCAAAATAAGGCTTTATGAAGTTTCACTCACACTCCCACCTCTCTGCTTCATTTAGACAAAAGCAGCCCAAGTCACAGTCCTGCCCATGCGTAGTGAGCAGAGTGGTAATGCAGGCTTCCCTGAAGATAAATGATGAAGATGAAAGACAAACAAGGTTTAGGCTATTAGGTCAATGTCCTTAAGATGGAAGAGCTTACGACATGCAAATCACCACAGCACCATAGTACATTAAATGTGCATGGATACTTACTGATTTTGCAAAGCTAAAAAAGCTCTTGGTCTCCCCAGTCACCATGTTGGATGAACCTGAAAACGAAAGATTCCTAAATCAAGCAACTGCTAATGAAAGTCAACATCTCGTATTATGCATGGAAGAATGGCAGTTGTTTGGTCTAGAACTGTCAAGAGCTTGAGTGAGCCTGGGAAAATGAGGATAATGGAGGGGGTGAGTGATGTCGGGTTGACTTAATTTTAACTAAATATCACTGGATCAAAGAGGAAGTAACATTTCTCAAGGAGACCATTTCATTACTTTGGAAAATGCGGCATGTGGCAAAAATGCGTTATAACTCAACATCCTAATACAATGAAATATCTTGTTGGTTCTGTCCTTCGTGACTGAGAAATGGGCTCCTATGTGAGCTTCTTTTATGGTTTGAATTTGATTCTTGAGCAAGTGAGAGACTTGGGGCTCTAACCTGGGCCAGGCATTTAAGTGGTAGGGAGAGGTTGTCCTGAGTTAGAATTTAGATGGATGAAAAAATGGGGTACAGAGGAGCAGATGAGGGTGCAACAGGTTCAGAAGTCATGGAAACAGTGTGAGCAGTGTGTTGGCTCTAAAGAGGTCTGGGCAGAAAAGTAAAAAACACTTGAGACAAATGGTGTGAGAGAGTGAGCTTTCTTAATTGGAATATGCACTATTTAGAAGGAAAGTGGGAGATGAAGTTGGGAAAGGTTCTTTAAGGTTCTCTTACAGAAAGAAAACACTTCTTTGTGATGGTCCCAGAGGCAGTGAACGAGAATTCTTAACAGTTCAGATACCATAGAGTGGACTTTTCAAGATGTTCCCTTCCCTGTCCCCCCTCCAAAAGGGGAGGAATTGTTATTGAATGAAAAAAGAAATGTATATTTTAAACTTAATTATTTGGCTTGGGTAAACTAGTAGGCAGTTAGTTAATCACTGCTTCTAATTTTATGTCGTGACTACCAGCAAGCATCATGGCACTAGGCTTCGACTACTTAGTAATCAAGTAATCAGTATAATAAATTAGACACTTGTGATGTGATCGAGATGTATTCCACCAAAATGAAATGGAACTGGGGCAAAATTAGAATCAGTAAATAAGTAAGGATAAATGAACTGTCCATCAGCATCTGACTCACATTGACATATTCAATATACCCACATTGCGTGTCACTGTTCAGAGCTTCTCTTATCAATAGTAATAATTTAAAAATTATGTGTCTATCTCTAAAGACTTTGAAATATACTGAAATGGACTATCAAAAATACTGAAATCCTCTAGCAATGGAAAGCCTATTCGCTCTCTTGCTTTCATAATGACCTAATGATGACAAAAAGATGCTTGAATATTTACACCTCTTGAATATCTCTTTGATAAGCTTCTCAGCTAATAGCAGAGAAATAAGTATTTTTTTTTTTTTAGTTATGCAGAGCTGAAGTTCAATTTTCTGTACCTATGGAGCACAAAGGTGCCAAAAATTTCAAATGTTTGTTAACTCCAGTATCATTCTGCTTTAGAGTGTGGTATCTGGCTTCAGATATGCTTTTTTGACTTTCTAGCGACTAATGGTTAAATTAGTTTACATGCCTATGAAAGAAGAAGAGGGAAAGTAGGCTCTGGGTCTCATTCTGCTGGAGAAAACCTGCTCCCAGATGTCTTTCATAAACCTCGCCAAACCCAAGATGCAGAAGCAGACCTGTGCTCCATCCATTCAGGGCTTCTGTCTTGATTGGGACAGACAGGAGTAGGTTAGAGGAAGGAGGGTCTGAACTTTGTAATTTCACCTCCAAAATTGAAGATCCTCCCTTAAAACGCCCATATCTTAGCCACTCCTTTCTATCCTACTGTTGATCTTTCATTCCTTCATTTTTTTTGAAGTTCTTTTGAAGCCATTAGTATTTTCCACCTGTGCCACTTTCCATGGGCCGAGTCTCCTCTCAGTGACTACATTGGCTTGGCTTTATCCCTTTTGGAATGAGAAGTATTCATGGAAATATCAGGACAGTAGGCACATACATTACTTTTATCATTGAAAACGACTAATGGCAATAGCAATATTATAAACATTACAAAATTAAACACCCCGAAATCATTACTCTAACATAGCAACACACTTCATTTTTCAGAGCCTATGTCTGTCAGCAGCTGCGGTGCATCTTGTCAGTACTATGTAGCACTCACCATATAAAATGTAGGTCCCCAGTGGTTTGAGAAGGCTGAGGCCTTTTCCAGTGTTGTCCCCACAGAGGCAATCCAAAACAATGTCCACTCCTTCAGCAGAGATTCTAAATGATGAGGAGACAAAAGACAATACTGTAACCTGTCAGGGACCAAACTGTTGATCCCTTTCCCTTCCTGTGTGTCATACAGTTGACTCCCAGAATCATGAAGAGTGAGTGCTCTCAGAGGAGCAATAAATAGGGCAGAAGTCTGGAAGGTGGACTTTTACTCCTGGGTTCAACTATAAGAATTTCACAAAGTTGGAGGCAGCTAAGAACCTGACTGGTGGCTGATATTGAGAACCAGCCTGGACTAGGAGAACAAGCATGGACATTACAGACAATCTGGGTTTGTATCTAGCTGCCTCACGCAGCTTCTCTGAGCCTTAGCTTTCTCCTTTGTAAAGTGGAACTAGCATGTTTTTTTTTTTTTTCAAGATAATCAATTGAGGTGACAGATGAGGTGTTTGGCCCATTGCCAGCCACACAAGTCACCCCATAAGTCAGTCAGTCAGCAGTTCATATTTGTAGAGCTTGAGTTATGTGCCAAGCTCTGTGCAAGGTTCTGGGGACAGATGGTGAACCAAACAAACATGTTTCTGTCTTCGTAGGGCTTCCAGTCTCATAGGGGTTGGCTTTCTTCCCTCTCCACCTCTTTCCCCGGTGAAGCTATAAAAAGGCATGTTAATTTAACTTGCGAACTTCTATTCACCTAATCTCCAGGTCTAATCTAAAACATAGTCTTAGAGGAAAAAGGATTAAATAGAGAAGCTCTTCCTACAGCAATGGACGGTTCCAGACTAGAGAGAATCCACATTAGTACTCTATTAGGCAATACTCTGTTAGGAAGAAGATCCCTTCTTCTATTCATTTATTTATATATTCATTGACTCACTCACTCACTCATGCATTTAAAGATCATCTCCTAGGCTTCCACTAGAAGATATGTGGAGGAGGGAACTGTAGAACAAGAAGGCTCCGAAGATTGTAGAGAAGATATTCATGCCCACAGAGCTCCCGAGTGTGGCTGTTCTATGTGCTGTGTTCTCTTAGCACATAGCTCAGTTTTTCTATCCCCAACCTCATCCCCCAACAAAGTTCAGGCTCTGCAGTGCTTGTCAACAGCTGTGTCCATAGTGTCACTAAACAGGTAATTACACATACATCTCTTGGGCTCAGACACTAAGTCGAGAGCCCCATGTCAGCTGAGTCTTTACGTGAGTATCCGTTTCAAAACCCTCAAGTCAAGTCCAACATCCAGCCCATTACAAAGGCTCTTCCAACATTATCAGCTTAGCTTCCACCTCACAGAGTTCTTATCTGCACAGGTATGTCCTTTCAAGTCTCACCTCTAAGTTCAGAACTAGAGAATAAGGCCAATGGATCTCAAACCTAAGTTCATCAGCATCTCCTGGAAGGCTCTTTAAAACACAGATTGCAATTTGCCTTCCCTATCTCCCCCCGACTTCTGATTCAGTCAGTCTGGGATGGGGCCCAGGATTAGCATTTCTAACAAGTTCCCAGGAGATGCCGATGGTGCTGATTCCATCTCTATACTTTGAGAACCACTGGTCTAAGCCAGTTACTCTGGAGTCAAGCCAGCGTTTTTTTGTTTGTTTGTTTGTTTTTAGTAATTAATTTATTCATTAATTATTAGCATCGGCACTAGGCACTGGGGGATAGAGTTTTGAGCCCAAATAGATTTGGTTTATCCTCTTTTGGAGCTTACATTAGACAGGCATTAACCAATAATTACACAAATAAAAATTAAATTGAAACTGAATGGAGTCTAGGGCCACAAAGGTATTATGAGACCATTTAATTTAAGGATTTGCTCAGTTGGGGATGCCAGAGAAGGCATCCCTGGAAAAGTGACGAGTGGGGGGTGAAAGAGTTAGCTAGGTAAAGAATGGTGGGAACAGTGTTCCAGGAAGAGGGAACAGCATGCGCTAAAGCCCCAGGGTGGGGGGAGCCTGGTGAACAGGAAGGATGAGAAACTGCCAGTTGCAAGGGCTGGAGTAGAAAAGATGAGAGGGAGCTTGCTGCAAGATGAGGCTGGAGAGGCAGGTGGGAATTAAAACATACAGACCCTGCTGGTGGGATCTAAACTGGTGCCTAACCCTTGGTGATCAGGTCTCCGCCTTACATCATGGGCTGATAACTATGCTCCTATCTTCCTCATTTCTACCAGGTCCATTTTCTGCCAGGTTTGCTCATTTCTCTGGAAGCTGGACCCTGCTCTGCTTCTATTAGCCCTTGTGGGCTATCAAGTCCTCCCCGTGAACTCTATTTCCCCAAAACCTCTCTTCTTGCCTGCAGAATGCCCACCTGTGCTCAGGAGCAGCATCTCAAATGTCAGGCAGTGCACACCTTCCAGGGCACTCCTGATGGGCCTGCCCAGCCCAGAATCCTCACTTCTTGCCTGATGCTTCTCATATCCATATTCTACTTGTGGGTCAACAGTTTCTCCCACCACCTGCCAATCACATCTCCTTGTATTAGCTGCCCCAGCTGGGCCTGTTGCTGTATCCTCTGCAGAAATGCAGGGCAAGCCCACAGCAAGGAGTGACCTTTAAGCTCCTGCTTACTTCCCCATCCTCGATTCCCACTAATTGTTCAAGGCCTCCTGACTTTCTGGCTATTCCTAAAACCCCTACTTCAGGGCTTTTACACATGCTGTAACCTCTGCTTCT